ACTTGGACTGATGCACTTCTGTGCAAAGTCCTATATTGAAACCAGTCAGTTAGATTGTGAGAAGTAGCGTTTCAAATGGTATTCAGTCAACAAGTGTTGCACTTTTTAATGTAGCTGGAAATTAAGCTGAAATGGTATCATAAGTGCTGCACCTATTTTTACTAATGGCTTGTTTTATGTAGAAATCAGTATAGTATGAATCTTTAGTCACAAGTAATTCCTGCTGTTTTGTTTTAAGAGCTTTTAAAAACGTGTTTCTTTGAGAATTTTGGATGCGGATATTGCACAATTTCACTTCTTCGTCATGTACTAAATCACCTCATGTAAAATGATTTGGTTTACCTCATTTTGTGTATTGCAAATAATCAGTAGCTGTGCAATTTATTTAGGCGAATTTGCTCTATTTCTTTTTTTCGTAATCTTGGTCTCGGTGATATTTTTCAAAGTAGTTTTAAAGGATGTAGATTCTAGCTGTGTAGATAGGCTATTTAATGAGGGTTCGGCCTATTGGTTGGGACTCACCTTCCAATCAGTGAGTCACGGCTTTATACACCACTCCATCTACTGAGACTTGAGCGATCTGGTTATGATTGGGACTCACCAGCTATTGTACTATGATCCGCACGTATCCTATGAGGGCTAACGACGGAACACAATTTATCCAAACTGAAGTAGGTAGAGCGAGATTCGAACCTGAGACCTTATTGATCATTAGTCTGGTGCTTAGGGCCAATGGACCACATCTCACACAATAGATATGGCTGGTTGCATAAAGCACAAACCTGTACATAGTTTCTAAGTTACATTGGCTTTTCTATTCCATCATCAAAGTATGATTGATATAATGTAGTTCTGGGATAAACTTAGAGATTCAAAATAATTAATCCAAAAACAGCATCCATTATCTCTTAGTTCACTGAACGTTTCCATCTTAGCTTCCTAGGAATTATACATTTTCTCGCATTTATAGGGCTGCATTAATTTTTATTGCGAATAGTTCATCAGGATTAGTTTTGTTTTTTTAATTTTCATATACAGACGAGTATAAAATGTAAAATATAACATTAAAATTGTTGTAGCAGTTGTTAAATTTAATATAGAAATAAATTCATAGTAACACCAGACAGTTATTAGGCTTATTAGGGAAACAGTTTTTGTGAAAGACAAATAAGTGCAACAGTTTCGGAGAAAAACGGTGTTATTATTACCTCTAAGGAGGGAATACATTGAGGAGCAATTTAACTGACTTACAGTCCCACGCTCAACTTTTCCAGCATCGAATACCTATCTAAATTGTATGTAAACATCGGTTCTCCATCTGTAACTAAGGTTAGAAGGGTTTGTTCTGTTCAAAATGAGGACAAGCAATGGGACTTTATCGATTGACTCCAGGTGGTGACAAACTTATTGTATGTGAGTTAACTAAGATATAGGTAATGTGTGGAAGCCTGTAATACTCTTGTTGGACTTGTGCTAACCCCTGATTATTTAAGCATATTAGAAGGGAGACGCTTCCTGTTATAATAATAAGGTAATAAGCTTGATTAATGTGGTATCTTAAGTTCTAGGTTCAATAATCATGTATAGACTGAGTGGACCTCGAGTGAAGCAAAAAACGCGTGCGGACCATGCAGCGTTTAGTCCAGAATGAGGATGTAATGTTGCTCCTGTGGACAGAGCTATATAGGGCGATCAACTAGACAGCTTAACAAACGCATTATTGAGCATATTCCTTCATGGTTTGGAAGAGGTCAAATAAAATCTATAAGAAGTTCTATTTTGGCTCATTTGATTGATAGCGGTCACCAAGTGGACAAAAATAGTGCCTTCAAAGTTATCTATCACATTCCATCGAGCCTTTCAAACGGAATTCGAATCCGTTTTTTACACATAGCCGAAGCTATGGGAATTCGAGAGAGCAATCCTAGTCTTTGCATACAAAAGAAGTTTGTTCTACCTTTGTCTTTGCTTTGACCTAGGTGAATTCTATTCAAAACCTTCTCACCCTTTCTTATTTTCCATCTCCTTCGTATTTTTATGTTATTTATTTAAAGTTTGATTATCTGTCCACTTCACCCTTAGTATTACGTAACTTTTAAGATTTGACCAAATTTATTTATTGAATTGTCTGCATATACATATATTACTACCTTTGTTATTCTTATCGCCACCTGCATAAACCTTATTATCAATATTTTGTTATCATTATAATCATCGTTATTAACTTCGCTCAAAATATTTACCACATTAGTATTTGATCCACAAAATCACCGTCATTGGTTAAAAATTTTTATATATAAATCTATGTAAATTAGAGTAAAGCCTGAAGAAGATCTAATTGAAAACAACAATATTGTTCGCTTATATGTCTTGTTCTATTATTAAAAATGGGAATATTTAAAGATCACATATTCACCTGTTGACAGATTCTGAAGAATTTTCTAGCGATTTGTCTCGATATCTTACCATTATATATTCCTCATTGGTGATGAGGATTCAAATAAGTAATAATGAAGATGTGACTTATTGCCATAAGCATTCAATTTTCTACCAATAGTTCTTCGCTTTGAATCTTGTTCCGCCTACTTCAGACTACATATCAGAAATCAGTTCCGGATAACTGAATCCTAACTACCTACTTTGGTAACTCAAGTATTTTGGTATCTATTTGAAACCTGGCACATTCGATCGTAAAAGTGTTAAATATGGATTGTGTATCGGTCGGTCGGTCGGCATAGAACTTTGCACATATGTGCGGCAGTTCAAGTTGCCACACTCCCTTCATGTAGCACACAAAGCAAGAGAAGGAAGTAGAAGAAATGCAAAATAGAGACAGTAGATAGGAATATGAGACAAAAGGAATAGTAATAACGAAGAACAAAACAGTTTCATTGGAAATCATAAGTCACAAGGAGTGGATGCATCTGCGCCAGCCATTGAGAACGATTTTGAGCCATGTCACCAATTGTTTCCAACCATTGGTTTTTACTGTCCTGAGGACCCCAACCAGGAAGTCTACACCTTCCTACGTGGCTTAGACTAACTGTTGTAGATTTCATTGACTGGTGCCATGTTTTGGTTTGACCGCCGCTAGCTCTTTTCGAGCCTGACCCTATATCAGCTAACATTGCCTGTTGTCGATGAAAGCGATGACTAGGCATACGTAGCACATGTCCTAACCATCTCAGTCGAAGTAATTTCACAGTTTCGTCGATTGATTTCCCCGCCTTACCTAGCACCCAATCCAATGCCATGACTCAAACAAAATCACAAGAAAGAATTGATTGTGTATACAGATTCCCATGTCTCTGAGGAACTCCATTATGCTCCTCCTTGTTAAGCTGTTTCAAAATTCTTCCGAATAGTTTATTTAAAATGTCAGTAGCTTAATACTCAAGACAGAACAATAATCCCTGTCGATCATTAGATTGAATGCACACACCCTACAACTTTAACTTTTTCTTTGTAAATTTCAGAAAGGCCACCGACTTCTGTTTGCTGGAGTCATATCGAGTTATAATAATCAATCAAATACACGCAGACAATCTTCTTGTGAATAACAAAACAACCGAAGGTATTATTTATGGGTGGCATTTTCAGTCTATTTTCTCGCTTATTTGGGAATAAGGAACGCAGAATTCTCATCTTAGGCTTAGATGGAGCTGGAAAGACAACAATTCTGTATAGATTACAGGTTGGCGAAGTAGTGACAACTATTCCAAGTGAGTACAATATATATATTACTTTGCTGACATTAATTTTTATGTTAATCTTTGTTTATTGAATGGTCATTGGTAATAAATGTACCTCAGTTAATACGGAAGTTAGTGTATTAAGTCTGTCTTTTTTTCTCAATTAGAATTAAAACGTCTTATTCTTTCACAAAGTTAAAGGGAGTTAAGCACAATTAACCGTAGAATGGTTGAACTGTGGAGGTTTGTTGGTTAAAAAACTTGGTGTTTTATTGTTAATTTGACTTTTCAACTTGATCCTTCCTTATGATCCTGTTTTGTCTTTATTAAGGTGATAAGCAGTTAAGTAGAATTACAGGCCTCTACACATTTAACGGAACCTTCAGCGTCGTAGTACCCAGAAGACGTGTAGAAAGCAATTGAGTCACGATTAAGTGGATATCACACTTCAAACGAAGAATAGGTTGTACAATGATCTAATTGTGATGTACTGGAGATAGGATTATTGTAAATAGTGCAACCTAAAGAAAAAACAGTGCGTCGGTTGTATGGCGGTAGGATGCTCTCCAACCACACACGTAGTCCGGGGATCGACCCTCTGCTGACGCACCCCTAAACCTCGCTAAAGTCTGTCTGTCTGACTGACTGGTTCCAACATAGAACTTTGCACCGATGTGCAGCAGTTCGAGTCCGAGTCGTCCCGTTGGGTTGGTGTAAGTCATTGATTATCCGGATATACAAAAAGAGAGACAAGTCTTCCTGTGATAATCACAGGGGGATTGGGTCGACCAATATGGTATCTAAAGTTCTAAGCTCAATAATAATGCATAGACTAAGCGGTGCGCGAGAGGAACAAACATGAGAGAATCAGGCAGGCTGTAGACCAGGAAGAGGGTGTATTGATCATATCTTCACCCTTCGACAGATTAAAGTTTGTAAAAAGGGAAGGTTGAGCATGAGGCTAGCAACCCCACCCTGTAAAAAAAGACCACTGCTGCCGAAACTTCAAAGCTCTAGCTTGGAGCCCTACATATATATGTCTATATAACAGGGATTTTGGCTGGTTTAGGGTAACCACACTTTAGAATGACAATGGGAAATTAGGTCAATAAATTCATCTGAATGTTTAAGGAATATTACTGTTTAAATTACGAAGATAGTCATATCTACACGGGTCATTGTATATTTCTCAAACGTATAATATGTTCAGAATGGTGGTGATTTTTACCTTTCTACTAGGGGATTCAGAAAGCGATTTCATGGGATATAAAATTATGTTCCGTAGTGGTATGCCAGCTAGGATTTCCACGTAGTCATTTGTCGTAAATACTTATTATTATCTCAGGTTTGTTCACGGATTGATATCATTTGGAGAACCACTGAAAATCAGGGAGTATTGGACAGCTGTTTCGTCTTAGTTTGGGACTCACCGATAGTGCACACCCACCACAGGGGTTTGAACCCAGGACCATCTGGTTACAAGGCAAGCTCGCGGACTATTCAGCTACAGGGACCCGACTCAGTGGCGAATGAATCCTAACTCATGTCAATTCGTGATTTTAGCGCAACCACCAGCCAATGTCATCGGCTGAATGGTCTACAAACTTGCTTTATAACCGGAAGGTCCTGGGTTCGAAACCCGATGGGTGCGTATTGTTGTCGAGTCCCAAACTAGGACGAGACGGCTGTCCAGTACTCCCTGGTTTTCAATAGTTCTCTAACTGATATCAATCCCTCACTAGACTCGAAATGCCCAGGCAATTTATTATTACTATTTTTCCATTAGGTTCCAAGCAGTACATAGGGCTTCGGCAGTGCGTCTATGCAGTCACTTTTAGCTGACTCCACTTTTGCCCATAAACTCTCACCCCCTTGTCACACGATCTCCTCTATGTCGCCCTCGAACGCCCAACTCATAGTTTTCTACTAAGGTTCCATTGGACAGTCTGGCACTCAATGGTTTCCTTAGCATGTTTCCTATCCATCTCCATTCATTTTCTTCGCCATATTTGTTGAGCAATAGGTTCTTGGTTGGTTCATCGTACTACCAGAGTTCTTTGTTGCTGGATTCTTTCTGGTCATCTGATCTTCAGTGTAAAACCAGCGATGGCAGCTGCTGACAAAGGTCTGTAGGCTTTCAGTATTATGAAAAACTTTAAGCTATGCATAATGAGAATTATTTTCCTATTTAGTTTGACGTAAATTACACAATAAACGCTTTGTTGCCTTCTACTTTATAAGGTCAATGTAATAAATTACATCTTTTGATGATAGTCTGTTTAATAGATCTAAGTTGGTGTAGTCTGGTTTCGAACCGTAGATCTATCTTTTGAAAGCTGGAAGCTCAGATTGGTGTAGGTGAGCTACTTTTCATTTGCACACCCCACATCCGCTTTGATCTCTCAATCTTGAGAGAATTATTGATACGTTGAATAACCTACAATTTGACTGGAATAATTGTTTAATACTGTTTATTTATAAAATGGTATTAAATATCATGTTTTTTTTCTTCATGAAAAATTATCTTTAAATAAACAGCATTTGTAAATTAATGCTAACATGAAAAAAGTAATAAAATTAACTTTTAGAAGACAAAAGGAAGTCCGAGTGAAGAATATTCTTTTCGGTAAATTCCTCTTCTGGATCTACAATTATGTAAATGTATATATTTGTATGCACAAAATATTGTAGAATAATCGTCATTAACAATGTTGATTTAAAAAAAAATGATATCGGTTCTAAATAAAGTAAGAACAACAGTTTATACAGAATAAGATGGTACCATCGTTGTTTTTTTCGTTAGCTTCTCATCATCTGCTTACAGCTTAGCGATATTATTATTACTTTAAGTTTATGTACACAAATAATATTAACATACTTGCCCAGAGAGTTCAAGTTTGAACAAAAAATCAATATATACATATAATTTGCAATTAATAGTGTTCTCTGAGCTGGTTGGTTTAGTTGCGGAGCTTTCGTCGTCCTTCTGGACAACATCTTCAGCGCAATTTTTAGCATAAAGTGAAATGATTTAAATTTTTCATGAGTGATAGAATTGCGTCTCACGGTAACCATCTTTACATATGTATTGATCATTTTCTACTGATTTGGATTTTAAACTTTCTGGTCACATGGTAACAGACATTACATCGGCCAAAGTGGGCGTCCCCTTCGAATCAGAATCCAGGAACACAAATCAGCTGTGAAAAGACGCGATATATATTTTTTAGTATGAATGCATATAGACAATTATGGACATCAATTTGATTGGGACAATGTCGAAATCTTAGACAGAGGAAACACCAAAAGTGCCAGGGAATTCCTAGAAGCCTGGTACTCAAACGAAAATGCAATTAACAAACACGTTAATATAGACGAAATATACCAACTAATAAAAAGTAAACCATGTGACCAGAAAGTTTAAAATCCAAGTCAGTAGAAAATGACCATTGTGTGCATACAGCAGAAAAGATTTGTAGCTCAGGTGGATGATTTGCAATTAGGTGTGTTCTCTAAGCTGGTTGGTTTAGTTGCGGAGCTTTCGTCGTCCTTCTGGACAACATCTTCAGTGGTGTCCGTCAAGGATGTCCACTTTCCCCTTTTCTGTTTAACTTCATCATAGATATGCTAATGGAAGTATCCTTAACTGAACTTAACGACTTAGGAATCGACTTGTTACCAGGGAATAGTCTAATAGACTTAGAATACGCAGACGACATAGTCCTGTTAGGGGAGGACGCTGACAAAATGCAGAGTCTTCTGAACACCTTGAGCAGCAATCTTCGTATGTTTGGCATGCGGTTCGCCCCTGTGAAATGTAAGATGCTGCTACAGGACTGGACTACGTCAACTCCTAGCTTAGTGATAGGCAGTGAAGTGATAGAACATGTTGACCACTTCACCTATTTGGGAAGTTGTATCAGCACCAACGGATTGATTGGTGACGAAATCACAGCACGGATCCAGAAAGCTCGGGCTGCTTTCGCTAACTTACACCGTCTCTGGCGTAGGCGTGACATCCGGCTGTCAACCAAGGGACGTGTATACTGCTCAGCAGTTCGCTCCGTCCTTCTCTATGGCGGTGAGACGTGGCCATTGAGAGCGGAAGACATTAAGAGATTGTCTGTTTTTGACCACAGATGTTTACGATCTCTTTCTCACGTTAGGTGGTATAATAAGGTAAGTAATGTTGACGTTAGGTGTAGAGTGTTGGGCAAAGAGGGAAAATTACTCGAAGAGGCTATGAAGTTACATAGATTGAGATGGTTAGGCCACGTGCTGCGCATGCCTAACCATCGTCTCCCCCGACGGACGGGTATTACTAGCTGATATAGGTGCAGGTTGGAAAAGAGTAAGTGGTGGCCAAACAAAAACATGGCCTCATCAATCCATGAAATCCCTGACAGTTAAATTGGGTCAGGTAGGGAGATGCAGACTTCCGGGTTGGGGCCCTCGGGACTCTAAGAATCAATGGCTGGAGACAATAGGTGACATGGCTCAAAATCGTTGTCAATGGCTTACGCAGATGTATTCAGTCTCTTTTACCTTCATATTGGTTTCTACCATTACTCATTCTGTTTCACTCTTATACTTGTCAAAACTCTATTGATTCTCTTCACTCATCTTCTTCTTGTCTACCTCTGTGTGCTCTTTGGAACGTGGCAAGTGGAACTGCTGCACTTCGGTGCCAACTTCTATGTTGAAACCAGCAGCAGCAGCAATAATAATAATAATGATCACTATTCCATACAGTGACAATCATACAGGATGGGATTTTTAGCGTTACGTAATTAAATGAAAGAGAGAAGGTGAAGACATCCAGTTACCAGGGCAAGGAAAGACTGATAACTGCTTTTTTCTGAATATATAAATCCAGTTTCAGGAGTTTGATAGAGATTGCTCCGGCAAACTTGAGGAGAATTGGGTTTTTTGCCTATTGATAGTTTTGAAGTTATAAGATCATAATCTACATTAGTAACTATTCCCATTAGCTTTTGCTTTAATTGCTCAATTTCACGTCTGATATGTTGCAACTTTTTGACGATTCGGTGTATCTCTTCTTTCAGGCATAATTTTTGTAGGCTTTCTATTCTACTTCTAACTCTGTCCGTTGGAACTGGAGCTCGTAGACGTAGATATTTAGGAATAATTTCATTTCTTAAGCATCGGATGTTTAAAAGTTTTACACATATATTGATAGTTTTGAAGGATTTTGTGATTTTCACCTCATGACCCGTATCAAGGAGATGCCTGGCAATGGCACTGTTGAAAGCCTTTGTTCACTGGAGACGTAGGTTTTTGGTGCTTGTCCGAAAAATCGGAGGTGTGTCCTTCTTTTCCTTCTGCCAATGTAACTGTTGTCGCAGATACATGTAAATCCGTATACACAGTTAGAGTTAGAATGAGAATGGTATCTGCTAACTTTTGATTGCACCAAAGAAGAACATGTTTTCCGATAAACGGGAACCAACTTATCTGTAGGATCGATTCTGGCTAGTGAGGTATTCAGTCTTCTGTTGACTATTCTCGCAATGTTGTCACTTTGAGGATCTAGTTGAATGAAGATAAACTTTTCTCCCACTGTGATTTGTTTGGCATTTGAGCCTTCACATCTTACATACCTGTTAATGAATTTCTGGGCGTAACTGTTGTTTTTCAACATCTTTTCGAGAATCATAAATTCTTCCTCTAATTTGACTGTAGAGCATATTCTCCTGACTCTATAGAACAGAGTTTTTACTAGTGCTCGTTTATAGCTACTTGGACAAAAAAATAATAAAAATGTAACTATCCCACATTCCATGTCGGCTTTCAGTAAGTTAACCTCTGGAGACCACCATCTTCCAGACGTTGCATGACAATGTCAAGCAAGTGGAACTTTCCATCATTTTCACTTTCCATAGTAAATTCAATATTTGTATGTGTGTCTTTGAATAATTCTAGTAATTGGGAAGCATGACTTTCATTGTTGCACACTGCAAATGCGTCACCTACATATCGACAATAAGAAGTTATTTCGTCAATTGCAGTCGTCAACTTTGTTCTATCAAGGTTGGATGCGAAGATGTCTGCTGAAACAGGGCTAACTGGACTGCCCATAAATAGCTACACCATCTATTTAACAGTAAATAGTACTGTCAGAAGACTGGAATTGTACATCCATGGTACGCATTAGCAGTAGGCGTTTGAATTCTGTGCAATGGAAGTGTGTGTGGGAGAAGATCAGAATGCTGACAGATGATCTCGATATTTTCATTGATTGGGATCGATTTGTTAAGATTCATGGAATTACAGTTCATAAAGATGCCTAAGTTATAATAAGCATAAAAAATGTAATACTGGATAAAAAGTGAGATAAAATCAAGGAAATTCATACAGTAAATTAAGAATAGTTAAAAACCTTGATGGCCAAGTTAAGGAAAGCGTCTAAACCAATTTTTTTTGGATACATAAGTTAGGCTTCTTAATTTTAATTCCGACGACCTCAATAATATGTAACAGACGAACTCTTGAGGTAAAATTAAAATTAGTCAGTATACGGTAGGTGACTGTGAAAGTCTTGTTCACATCAAGACCTTTTTCGGAACTACTGGTGTAACGACAGAAGACAAGAGCCAGGCAACAAATTGTTTATTGAGAAAATCAAGAGATATTTATAGATTTTTATGTACATTGTTATTAGTAGAGAAGCAACGTCTTCTGATTGGTTGTTTTCTTGCTAAGTGTTATTCTTTACTGCTTGTGACCGTTTCTTAGAAAGTTAAGCCACATACCTGCGAATCGTATTTGCGCACGGTAAGTCTGCTGTGATTGGTTGGTTAGTTCCTCAAGGTTAAGCTTTGTTATCGTTTTTCTCATGACCCTGATTCCGGACGTAACACTGACGTAAATTGTTGTTTACAATTTTGGCTTGTTCGCAGCCAGCTCTCACCACACTGGTACTTCTTCGGCTTGCCTTATCTTTGGATTCATATATTCTCGTCGATGATTTTCTCTGGGTAAGCGTTTTCACTCAGTAACTGTCTGATCATATTGAATGGTTTAGTGAAGAGCTCAATATATCAGCAAACAATTACTGAGTGAAAACGCTTACCCAGAGAAATTCATTGTCAAGAATATGAATCTAAAGCCAAAGCAAATAAAAGTACCCACAATTCCCCAAAACGCCATGTTCTTACACCTTCAGTTACTCTGTGATAACACCAGTGAAATAATAACACAACGCCTAAGGAATGCGATAAAAAGAGCATTCAGTGCTGCTGCATTATACTGTATCTTCAAAAGCAGTCTCATATTTTACGTTCGGGAGTAGTTGAAGATAAACTACCTAATTTCGCCTCTTCTATGTGTATCTATCAATTTGATTGCTCCTGTGGAGTGAGCCAGTTACATAGGCAGTACAATTAGGTGTGTTTATCGTCAGATTTCCGAACACCATCCTGATTGATTAAGTAAGGGACAAACTAAGTCTATTCATAGCTCTGCTCTATGCTGTCTCATCTCGTCGATACAGAACACAAAATTAATGTCAACAAGGCTTTCTAAGTCACCTACCGTATACCAACTAATCTTAATTTTGCCTCAACAGTTCGTCTGTTACATATTTCCGAGGCTGTCGGGATTTACATTAATAAGCCTAACCTATTTTTCCAAAAGAAATTGGTTCAGACACTTTCCTTAATTTAGCCATCAAGGTTTTTAGCGATCCTTAATCTTATTTGATGTTCTCTCCACCAATGCATTTTTCAGCACCTATTTTTCAAGTATTGGTTTTGTGGGGGATTTTGTTTGATTGGTTGGAGGATTTCGTCATGATCTGACATCAATTAGAGAACCATTGGAAAACCTGGGAGTATTGGACAGCTAGCTGTTTCGTCCTAGTTTGGGACTCTCCAGGAGTACGCACCCACCGGGGTTCCAACCCAGGACCTTCTGGTTACAAGGTGAGATAGTAGACCATTAAGCCACTGGGACCCGATCGAATGACCCATGAATTCTAACTTCTGCTGATTCATTACATAGCGCTACCACTTCGCAGTGTCTTCTTCAATGAGTTACTGCATCTGTCTTGAACTGTAATTTCACTGTTCTTAACGAACTGATATTACTTAAATAAAAACATCAATATTGTTAATGACGACTATTGTAGAATATTTTGTGCATATAAATATACATAAATGTAGAGCTGGAAGGGGAATTTATGTGAAGAATATTCTTTGTTCTATCTTTCTTCTATATCTTCAAATTGTCTGCTGAATGAGAATTTTCGCTGTATATTGTAAAATAAACTTTTATCTCTCCTTTTTTTTTTAAAAAAAAACCCCCTTAGCCATTGGATTTAACGTGGAAACTGTAGTTCACAAGAATCTGAAATTTCAAGTATGGGATTTAGGCGGTCAGACGAGTATTCGACCGTATTGGCGATGTTATTATTCAAATACAGATGCTATTATCTATGTGGTTGATAGTATGGATCGTGATAGAGTGGGTATTTCAAAGCAAGAATTATTCTCAATGCTTGAAGTAAGTCGTTTTCATTCTTTAATACTATTATGCATGTACGTAACTATTGTTATTGTTTATGGAATTTTTATTCATCGTTTTGTGACTGTTCTACATCTACTGGGGTTTGATGTAAGATGATGCTACAGGACTGAGCTACATTGACTCCTAGCTTAGAAATAGGAAGTGAAGCGGTAGAGCACGTTGACCGCTTCACTTACTTGGGAAGTACCACCAGCCCCAACGGGTTGATCTCTGACGAAATCTCAGCACGAATACAGAGGGCTAGTTTCGCATATGCCAGTTTACGTAGACGTGATATCCGACTACTTCGACCAAAGGGCGTGTGTACTGCTCAACAGTCCGCCCCGTCCTCCTTTATGGCTGTGAGACCTGGCCATTGAGAGTGGAAGACATGAAAAGATTAGCTGTCTTCGATCATAGGTGTCTGCGTTCTATCTCCCGTGTGAAGTGGTATAATAAGGTGAGTAATACTGAGGTTAGGCGTCGAGTGCTAGGTAAGGAGGGGAAATCAATCGACGACGCTGTGAAATTACATCGACTGAGATGGTTAGGACATGTGTTACGTATGCCTAGTCATCGCCTTCCTCGACGGGCAATGTTAGCTGATATAGGGTCAGGCTGGAAAAGAGCTAGTGGTGGTCAAACGAAAACATGGCACCAGTCAATGAAATCCACAACAGTTAGTCTAAGCCACGTAGGAAGGTGTAGACTTCCTGGTTGGGGTCCTCGGGACGGTAAAAACCAATGGTTGGATGACATGGCTCAAAATCGTTGTCAATGGCGCAGATGCATCCACTCCTTGTGACTTATGATTTCCAATGAAACTGTTTTGTTCTTCGTTATTACTATTCCTTTGTCTCACACCTCTGTTTACTGTCTATATTATGCATTTCTTCTACTTTCTTCTCTTGCTTTGTGTGCTACAAGGAGGGAGTGTGGCGACTTGAACTGCCGCACATATGTGCAAAGTTCTATGTCGAAAACAGACAGACAGACTGGGGTTTGAGTAGGCCCTCATCCCCAAGTGGTGTGAGGCTAGCCTTCAAGCAATAGGTGTAGCTGATTATTTTATTTAAAACACAAAACCTGGTACAATATGGCACCAAGAAGATGCACCACAAATAGATAAGATAGACACACGAAAAGTCACAGGCGTTCAACGTACAAATTTTATTAATATTGGCTTTGACTAATCCCAGTGAATGTGGTTCCCTGACTTTATCACTTGACTAAAAGCCAATGGGTCACGATTTCGAATCTTGCTCCGCTATTTCAGCTTGGGCACTAGGTGGTGGTGTCATCCACCCTCACACAATAAGTGTCACATGTTTATAGTAAGATTGGATCAACATAGTCTGGATAATTTCGCTCACGCCTATGGCCTTGGTCAGGAAATTAATCCTTATTAGCTATCCGCACTTTCGCAACGCCATTGGTCATGTGTATATGTACTTCCCATCTCATGTCGTTGTGTATTGTGGCTTAAGTAGAGCAGCGGGCTGGAGGAAACAGGTAGCTATTGCATCATATTGTTGGCATAATCAAGCCGTATCCGTGATCAGTGCATTTTGAATCCAATAGCGGCGTCCCTATCCTGTAATATTTCAATCTCAATGTTATTGGGAAATAATCGAGTTGCTTGTTCATAATAGTATCATAACCCGGTACCGGCAGGTTCTGAGTTCTAACCATCCCTATAATAAACACGGCATCCATCGTCATCAGACTCGTTCTCTATAATTATTTTTTTTTATTCCTTCACGTTCCCAGGGGAACATAGGGCTGCAAGCTAGAGGCTTGAAGTTTCTGTAGCAGTGTTTATTTTTAGAGGATGGGGTTGCTAGCCTCATGCCCAACCTTTCCTCTTTACCAGCTTTATTTCTGGCTCAGCGAGGTTAAGGAGTGCGTTGGCAGGGGATCGAACCCCGTACCATGTGCATGGTCGGCGAGTGTCCTAACCGCTATGCCACCGACGCTCTCTATAATAATAATAATGGGTTTACAACAATTTTATTATTGTATGTGTTAATTGACTAAGCGGAAGATTAAAAACTTTGAGTTTTGCTTTAATTAATCATGTTGAAGATGATATTGTAAAGAATGCAGACTGTAACGACCAAAACAACTCGTTGTGGTCTGATCGCAATAAACCTATGTTTGCGTCCTACTGTATGTATAGCTGTCCGAAACTTCACCAAAGAGACGCTCTTGACACAACTCTCTAAAGACAACAAAAAGACGACCATTCGCCGGTAATTTTATCTGGTTCTATTCAGCAACAATAATACTAATATACAAAACTCAAAATTGCCTCAACAACACCGTTAAGCAGTTATACAAACAAGGTAACCTTCTATGTAGAAAACGAGGACTGTAAAACAAAATTAGTTAAACGAAAATAAATTGTAAGCAGTACATGAGAATCAAATAGAATATTCTTAACAAGGTGGGATCAAAAACTCTGTCCGCAAGAATCATACACCAAATTATCCCCAAAGGCAATCCAAAGTCAGAAATGACGTTGATTCGCTCGAACCTAAATCACATTATAAAATAACACATTATGAATGTTGATATCAGGTGGTTAGAGGCAATCGGCAGATAGCCTTGGACACCTAGTTGGCACTCCTCAGCAAGATGTACCTGCAACCTTGAAGGTACTCATATTCTTTCTGAGATTCGGACCCGCGTCACCCAGTAGGGCTGCAGTCAGAGATGTTATTACTGAGCTGTTTGGGCTCACGATTGACCTTCTGTAGGACTTCATTAGATAGTTCTGATTGGATGCTATTTAGTAACTGGTGCAATGTCTCTAGTCCTTTGTTTTGTGCAGACTGAATTCTATCGGTCACTGAGCCTGACTGACGCGGGTTCGAATCTCCGAAGGGACATGAGTTCCTTCAAGGTTGCAGATACGCCTTGCTGGCTGGTGAGTGCCAACTAGCACGAAACTTAGGTCAAGCAAGGCTTCCTGTCGATTGCCTCCAACCGTCTAATATCAAGAATTCACAGTGCACCGTGATGGTGAGCCACCTAGTGGCATAGTGACCACGTTGTAAACTTGACTGATAGAGTTCAGTCTGCACCAAACAAAGGACTAGAGACATAATACATTAGTTACTAACTAGTGTCCAGTCAGAAGTACATTATGAATGTATCAGACAACCATAAAGAGAAGTATTACAATTAGAGATTAAACAGGGACAAAGACGAATGAGTCAGAATGAAGACAACAGATGATATGCAAATGTTCAGAACAACAATGAGAACAAAAAAGGATATCTAAATTACAAAGTTGCCTGATACATCCATATAAGTATCAATATTGTGATTAGATTGTTCAAGGAGGATTTTCCAAACAATTATTCCATTACAGAATACTATACACTTAGTCATCAGTCATGTTGTCATTGTGTTTACTCATTACTTCGATTTTTTGTGAAATACTACTACTAATAGTAATAAGGAAAGTTTTTCAATGTTCACATACTTGACTGACTCTATGATTACATTCCAATGATTAAGGTTATTTGGGTGTGTGTGTGTGTGTGTGTGTGTCTGTTGATACAAAGTTCTATGTACACATGCTTGATCACCGGTCAATAATCTTAACATTCACACAGTATTTGAATTGAATAAATAATACGTACAATTCTAGCATATAAAAGTTAATAATTATCATTGCTTGAACCAAAGCAAAAATATATTAAGCTCATTCTTTGTACTATCTTACCGTTTCTTCCTCTTAGCTACCGCCTATCTACAATCTAAACTATGTACGAAAGCATAAAATCATATAGAACATTTGATAAATATACTTTCTACTCAATTATTATTATTATTGTTCCCTTGGGTTCCTAGTGGAACATAGGGCTTCAACTGCACGTCTCCACTCGCTTCTGTCTTCTGCTGTACTTTTCACCTGCGTCCAAGTTAATCCATACTGTTTCAATTCCTCTTCACACTTCACACTTCTACTCAATTGGTGAAGAGTAAATCGATTGGAACTATGAGTGGTGGTAACATAGGTCAGGAGTTAAAAGAATTTTTAAATAATAATTATAATATTAGTATGGGAGAAATCTGAAGGAAGCAACCTCCTTTACCTACCTACCTACCTGGGAAGCATGGTTTCAACTACACGCGGACGAAACTGATGAAGATGTCGAAGCGAGGATCTCGTGAAAGCAAGGCAAGCAAGCTTTCATTACTCTCAAGTCTGTGTGTGGAGATCAACAGCACACTCAGCATGGAAAATAAGATGCGGATTTTCAACTCCAATGTGAAGTCAGTGCTACTTACTATACGGATTAGAGACTTGCACTGCGCGTCACGAAGGGCACTTCGAACAAACTACAGACTTTCATCAACGGCTGTCTTTGCTCAGTACTCAATATCAGAAGTCCAGAAAAGATCAGTAATGGGGATCTCTGGGAGCGAACCAACCAGGAACCGATTGTGCAACAAATATGCTGGAAGAAATGGAGGTGGATTGGCCATGCTCTGAGAAAACCATCAAGTGACATCACGCTGCAGGCCATCACTCGATTGGAACCCGAATGGGAAGCGGCGAGGTCATGTGAAGAGGAGATGAAAGCATGTGGGCATAGGTGGAGTCAGGTGAGAAAACGTTGTTTGAGAACCCCGAAGGCAATGGATACGTGCGGTTGAAGCCCTACGCTCCTCTAGGAATTAAAGGAAACAATAATAATAGCTTTAATCTGAATTCTCAGCTGAATTTACCGCATCATATTCTTCGATTCCTACAGGCTCTTCAAATAAAATATTAATTAACAGCAGATCACGTGATACAATACTATCTGACCTGTAATGCAAACCACCAATCAGCTATATTATGTTTTTTCTTTATCTACTTCGAGAAATTCACGATATGTTGGCTGAAAGCCAATTGTAAAAAGTTCAGGAGTACTATTTTGAGATCCAAGGACATAAATGAAGAACAATTATTGCATGTATTGGGAAATGTCTCGCCCAGCCACCCGCCGCACGATTATGCTTTTTCTCAAGTTGATTAGAAATTGGCGAATCATCAGGTTGTAAACAGTTTAAATACTCGAGGAAGTAAATAATTACCATGAGAGGTCATATTTTAATCGATTAAAACAAAGCGAATAGCAGTAATTATGTGCAATATAATGATGGGGATTTTCGGTAGCCCAAGCTAGACCGTCGTCTGCCGACTGTTTTATAGGATAACGAGATGAACATTTTTGGAAATAAAGTTAAAAAGCTTTGGGGTGGAAACAAAGTCCAACTAGAAAGAGCATTATCAATACGATAGGCTTACATAACTACAGAAAATATGTTTTTGTTCAATAACAGGGAAAGGAGTAAGATGAGTGATTTTCAGACGAAAGAAACAGATTTTCTCAACTCAACAGTGCATATGGGAAAAGGCATGAGATATATTCAAAATGGTCTAAACTTTGTTTTGTAAGTTTAATCATCAAGTGTTAGCGCAAGGTTCACCACTGTGTTTCTTTTTGCCTACATAGATTTGGTTTTCACTGTTTGATGGCGGTTGTCTCAGCAAAACGTCATAGACTAGATTTAATTTTGTCTGTTGATTATTTTGAACACCTTTGGGATTGTCCACAATATAACCAGTGTCCAATAGATGGTGTACAATCGCACCCTTTTTTTTATACTTGCAAGTCCTTTAGTCTATGGTTTTTATTCGCTTAATCAAGTCAATAAGTTTGCTTTGCTGTACCACTAGAGGAAGTCGTGACTAGTGGGGGTGATGGGGGTACAGCAGGTCACTTGTGAGGATAAATACTCACCGACAACAATGGGTGGTAGTAGTCGCTCTATGTCGTGAATTGGCAGAAGTTGGAATTCATGGACTAATCATTAGATCAGGTCCCAGTGACTGAATAGTCGTCTAAGGAATGATCGCCTTGTAACCGGAAGGTAGGCCCTGGTTTCGAATCCCTGTGGTGGATGCGTACTACTGAAGAGTCCGAAATTAGGACGGGACAGCTGTCCAGTTCTCCGTGATGGTTTTCCAATGGTTCTCTAACCGATGTCAGTTCATGATGAAATCCTCTGAAAACAAAATGCTTTGAGTATGTGGTGAGAGCTGTCTGCTAGCCAAATTCGTAGACAGCAATTTACGTCAATGTTTACGTCCCAAATCTTGGTCACGATAAAGAACAAGAACAAAGACTAACTCAACAACTAGTCACAGTAGACTTTTCGTGGGCGGATGCGATTCGCAGATGTATGGTCTGACCTTCAAAGAAATGGCAACAAAGAGATAACAGAATAACTTTCAGCGAGAAAACGACCAATCAGAAGACGCTGTTTCCCTGCTAATTTTTTAAATTTATTCTTTCACGTTCCCAGTGGAACATAGGGCTTCAAGCTAGACGCCAGCTTGAAGTTTCGGTGCAGTGTTAATTTTTACAGGATGAGGTTGCTAACCTCATACCCAACCTTTCCTCCTTACCAGCATTATTTCTGGTTTAGAGAGGTAAAGGAGTGCGTCGGTGGCCGGGGATCGAAACCCGGACCATGTACATGGTTGGCGAGCGTCCTAACCGCTGTGCCACCGACGCACTTTACTTACTTTGCTTCGGCTATCTCCTACGGAAGGATGAGCCGGCTTCATGAACTTCTCAAATCATCGCTACCCAGGCGCAGCGATCTGATGAAGAGAGTTTACGAAGTTTCATGGGAATTTGGTACGAGTGATGTCCCCAGAACCACTCGGCCTTTTGTTTGAGAGTGCAGCTCTAGCCTTTACACAACCAAGTGTGACCTACAAGGCAGTAGGAGTGGAGTAGGGAGTCCACTATCCATTGGCAGCCGGTGACCGGAGTTCGGTTCATACGCCTTTTTGAATGGGGCCAGACATCCAGGACATCCAACAAGCCCTTTGTCCATACGTCTGCCGGTGAGCTCCAGTGAGCTTCATACGCCAGTCGTTGGAGGTTTGGAATCAGGGTTTAGCCATCTCCTCTAGACTGTCATCCAATGGACAGTCAACCCGGTGAAGAGCGCCGGGAATCCGCTTTCGCCCTCTCACTTTGGTGAAAAGCACCTCCGCCACGTGAAGGCAGTGAGTAGGACTTCCTCAGGAGAGGCTATGTAAGACGCCCGGTCATATGGGAGCATTTCAAGAGGTGTGCGGAGGGGTGGCCAACCCGCAGCCACCGACGCACGTTTCTCTGCTAATAGTAACAAATAATAATGTACATAAAAATCTATAAATATCTGTTGATTTTCTCAATAAAGTATCTGTTGCCTGGCTCTTGTCTTCTGTCGTTACAAGTATAGTGTAAGCCCCTTGGATTTCTTTTTTACTTAATAATGTAAACGATATATATTTTTTGTAATGTACTAAGTGTTCAGTTATTTATGGAAAGATAGAAAGAGCTATGTGATCATTAATTCCTTTTCTCTCTGTCTGTCATTGATTACAGGAAGAAGAACTTCGTGGAGCTGTACTTGTAATATTGGCTAATAAACAAGATATCCCAGGATGTATGACTATCAGTGAAGTAGCTCAATCGCTTGGTTTAGCTGCTATTAAAAATCGACGATATCAATTGTTTAAAACATCTGCACTAAAAGGTGAAGGTTTAGAGGAAGCTATGGATTGGTAAGTGGTTTAGTTTCTGATAAAACTAGTGATGGATTTGTACATTAACATTATGTCAGTAGTTTAAATGATTATCCATCGGCTTAAACAGTAGACTTCTACCCAAGTAAGAAGTGGTTTCCATGTATGAGCTCGCGCTCTAAATATTCTTGCAAACCTTCATAGACTGACTACGCGATTGATTTACAACTGTGAGTATGTGAAAAAAGACTGTTATCACAGTTGTGTCTTAATTTATGTTCATGAAAAATTCCCATTCGAACATTAATAGACAGAAGACAAGTAGTTCAGCGAAGAGTCTCTTTTCAGCGAATTTATTTTCATAGCTGTACAATCGCAATTATATATATGGTTGTTTTGTATGTGTGTGTGTGTACATTAAATTTGTCAAACGAAAATACAATTAGTAAGTTCAGATGAATTGAGTGTTGATATAAGAGGGTAGTAACAAAAGTGATGAGTTGTCACAAACGATTGTTAAAGAAGAGTTACGTAATAAAATGAAATTACAACTACAAAGGAGACCTTCTCAGTGACGTTCTTAGAAGGAGAATCCCCACCTCTTTAAGAAGAACTTTCTTTGCGGCAACATTGAGAGTAGTGTTCTCTAGTCACCCGCTGATCTGCACCTGACCACTTCTATGTGTATATATCAGTTCACCTGTTGCTGTGAAGCCAGGTACATCGGTCGTTCAACGCGCTTCTTGTCAAAAAGGGTCAAAGAACACTATCCAGCGTGGCTACAGAAAGGAAGTAATGGCTGCATAAGGAGTGCAATAATCGAACACCTCGTCAACACTGGTCATTCCATCTCAACAAACGCCTCCTTCAAAGTAATCTACAAAGTGAAGAACAACCTTCCAAAGACAGTACGATTCCGTCTTCTTTGCATCGCAGAAGCCCTAGCCATTAAGCTAGAGGAACCAGAACTGTGCATACAAAAGAAAATTATTCAACCACTTCTACTCCCATGGTAACAACTCTGTTGATTTGACTTAACTTTTGTTTGTATGCTTATTTTTCTACTTAAAACCCTTGTGTAATTCCGTATATTTTGTTTCCACGTACACCCTGAGTACAACTCTTTCATCAAACTATTCATGTTATTACGTAACTCTTCTTTAACAATCGTTTGTGACAACTCATCACTTTTGTTACTACCCTCTTATATCAACACTCAATTCATCTGAACTTACTAATTGTATTTTCGTTTGACAAATTTAATGTACACATACATACAAAGCAACCATATATATTTGCGATTGTACAGCTATGAAAATGAATTCGCCGAAAAGAGACTCTTCGCTGAACTACTTGTCTTCTGTCTATTAATTTATGTTATTCTACTATTATTGATTGGTAATATACTCAGGATTTAACAGTATCTTTGATAATTTGAGCAATCACAACTCTGCTAATACAATATGTCGAATTAACAGATGATCGAAGAGAATAGAAGCGATTTTGCATTCACATGACCATATTTTTTTTACAAGAGTCAAGATAACGCGGTATACATTCTAGTGTTTAAACAGGATGAGTCATAGATGCTAGGGGTGTGTGTTGACACCTGATTCGCAACTATTGAAGTAAATAACCTCGGCGATGGCGGGAATAAACAAGATCGGTGTCAAACGAGCGAAACGGTCGTCCAGTGTTTATATCACCCCTCGATCTGGCTGGCTAGCAAGCACACTACTTAAATCAATCAATTAGTAGTAGTATGTAGTTTTATGAAAGTTCTAGTTTTATCGCACAATACTGAAGATCTGATAGCGAGAAAGGAGATCCTGGCAGTGAATCAGTCAAGAATCTATTACCCAACAAATACACAGAAGGAAGTGGAGATGTGTGACAAACTTCATGCCATTGGACACTGTAAATAAGTACATTAGTTCAAAACAGCACAATAATAAGAGAAGATGAACAAAAATTTGCAGAGTATGCAAATAGATCGAATCACTAAATAAATGACTGTGAATATCACAAATTTGGTATATAATAATGAGTGAATACAGTTCGTCGGTGGCACAGCGGTAGAATGCTCGCCGACCACGCATTTGGTCCGGGTTTCGATCCCCGGCCACCGACGCACTCCTTTACCTCTCCAAACCAGTAATAAGACTGGTAAGGAAGGAAGGTTGGGCATGAGGCTAGCAACCCCATCCCGTAAAAATAAACACTACTGCTACCGAAACTTCAAGCTGGCTCTAGCTTGAAGCCCTATGTTCCACTGGAAATGTAAAGGAATAAAAAAAATGAGTGAATACACTTGCACCTTTTCAATTGATTTTCGATCAGTATCATATATATATCGATTATCCTGACTGCTGAGTAAGATGCTATGTGCACAAACCAAAAGTCACTGACTCCATTAACTGATTGACTATCGATGGTTTATTTCTGCTTAGACTTACTCTAGCTAGCTGACCATTGCTGTTCAAGGGAGTCGGTTAACTTGGCATCTGTAAAACGTGTCACAACCATCTTTGCCAGTCAAATAAGCTACTACAAACTTATTGTCTGAGCTGTATTCTGTGTCCCATACACTTAATCTCAGAACCCCTCACCCTTTGTTTTTGATTTCATCATGAGTTGACATTAATTAGAGAACCATTGGAAAGCCTGGGAGTACTGGGCAGCTAGCTGTTCAGCCCTAGTTTGGGACTCTTTGGCAGTAGGCACCCACCCTGGGGTTCGAATCCAGGAACTTCTGGTTACAAGGCAAGCTAGCTCGCAGACCGTTAAGCCACTGGGATCCGGTTCAATGGCCCATAAATTCTAACTTCTGACAATTCACGATATAGCGCGACCACTTCTCAATGTCGTCGGCGAGTAACTGTCCTCACACTCGACCTGCTTTACTCTAGTCGTCACGGCTTCTCACTAGAACCTCAGGTAACTGCTTGAATAGGGCCAGTCGCTAGTAGAAAAGAACAGGTCGAAATTCCTCTAGTTCATCTGTCGTTGAGTGGATGTTTCATATTTCCTGGCACGAGAATACCAATTATGTGGGACACTGCTAGAGTATATCACCGCTTATAGTTAGAGTAATACACTGCCTAACAAAGATTTCCAAGAGATATTACATAACATGACTAGTCAACCCACACACCATGTCCATTAATAATTGTAGTAACCAATAGAAAAAAAACTAGTTATTTCATTAGTGAGTTTTAGTCAAAGTCATGTTAATCCCCCCTATACATAATAATCACTCGCTTTAATTATAATAGAATATTGCTCTATTTAATATGATTGTATTATTTTCTTCGTCTCTCTATATATATATCTAGGCTGTCGAATACTTTATGTGGACAAAAGTAAAAATTCCCCACCAAAGATATTCATTTATTATCACCGCAAAACCAGCTGCGCTTTCTCAAGCTATCTATTATCACTGATTCAATCTTCCACACAGCAGTAGTATGTATGCCTGCCAACATTCATTTTGTAAATGTTCTTCTTTTCCTGTCGTCTACGCCACCACAGGCTAAGTTTGTTTTTTATCTTGAACTGTCTGTTCTTGTATCCAGCACAATTGTACAATAAATTAACTAATCTGTCTGTGATATGCTTATTGTGAGTTCATATTTTTAATCTTACAAATAATATTGATTACTTACACCATACCTTGCTATACACTTCCTTTGTCTTGACGACTTCCAGTGTACTCCTGTTCTTATATATACACTTACTGTTGTACAACAATATGTTGTTTTTTTTCTGTAGGATTTGGTGAAGCATATACAACTTAAGGCGCGTACATTCAGATTGAAATAGTACTATTAATTATAACAATCTCTCTCTCTCTTTCTGATTGTCTGTTATCTTAAATTCAAATCGCATCACTCTCACAATCAATCGGTCAATAAATTCCTTCCTTTGGATTGTAGATATTTTTGTGTATGCTTGACTCTCTTGTGAATTTCAACTAATTGGTATTTCTGATAAAAAATAATTCAAACGTATTCTATGCTCATTTTTTAAAAATGTCTCTTTGGTTCATAATGCATGTGAAATATAAAAAAAACTGCCAATTACATCCTTCCTTGTGTGTACAATGTTGTTGGGGAAGATTCCCATCTCTGGTGTCTTCTGCTTAGGATATATGTATATTGGAGACTTCATTTACCAAGAAAATGACCAGTGTAAAAAGGTATTAACTGATATCAACTTCAACTAGCTTCCTTCCACTCCCCAAGCCAAGTCAACTGTATTCCGTAGAATATGTAGAGTTTAACGAGTAACTTACTGAAAATCTACTAAGTTGGATGAGTCAACTATGCTGGGTGTTCGAATGAAGAGTAAAGGAATTTTAGAAAACTTAAGAAGTTTGGTTTGTAAAGTAAAAAGGTATTGAGAGTTACATGTCATAAATATAATATCATTCTGAATTATTCCAAAGCCTCAGGATGGTCGGGTGCCTTGCGCTGCGGGTTGGCCACCCCTCCGCACACCTCTTAAAATGCTCCCATATGACCGGGCGTCTTACATAGCCTCTCCTGAGGAAGTCCTACTCACTGCCTTCACGTGGCGGAGGTGTTTTTCACCAAAGTGAGAGGGCGAAAGCGGATACCCGGCGCTCTTAACCGGGTTGACTGTCCATTGGATGACAGTCTAGGGGAGATGGCTAAACCCTGATTCCAAACCTCCAACGACTGGCGTATGAAGCTCACTGGCAGACGTAGGGACAAAGGGCTTGTTGGATGTCCTGGATGTCTGGCCCCATTGAAAAAGGCGTATGAACCGAACTCCGGTCACCGGCTGCCAATGGATAGTGGACTCCCTACTCCACTCCTACTGCCTTGTAGGTCACACTTGGTTGTGTAAAGGCTAGAGCTGCACTCTCAAACAAAAGGCCGAGCGATTCTGGGGACATCACTCGTACCAAATTCCCATGAACTCTCATGTACGCAGACTCGAGATATTAGACCATTGGTGCCTCAGGTACATTCTGCATGTTCGTTGGCAGGACAAACTCTCCAACGAAGAAGTGTGTCGTCGTTGCTACAACATCAACCAAATTCCAGTACTGGTCCAACAACGTCGCCTTCGGTGGTTTGGCCATGTTCTGCGCCGACCAGATGACGATCTGGTCAAATCAGTTCTAAATCCCTCGCCATCACCATATTGGCGATGTCGCAGGAGTGGACAGCTGAAAACATGGCTTGGTACAGTCAAGGCTGATATGGAGTGCCTGGGGCTACAAACCGTCTACGGACTCCGTCTGTGGAACAAGAATTGGATAACCCTGTCGCAGAACCTTGCATCAGATCGCCGCGCCTGGGCAGCGATGATTCGAGATGTTCATGAAGCCGGCTCATCCTCCCGTAGGAGATAGCCGAAGTAAAGTAAGTAAGTACTTAATTCAGAATCTCGTGAGTTGGCTTTATGCCAAGCCCGCCTCTAAGGTACTTCAGATTGCTATTGGAAGAACTTATTTCCTGTCTAAACTTCAGAATCTCACTTGGCTATTCTTGTTAGAATATGCGAGGAGGTTGCCTTTGAGGAAGGTGGATACCCCTTAAAGAAATGGGGTGATAGACTGTAATCATGCTTCAGCTGCCACAAATTCAACCTGAGTATGAATCAGAATTTCGGAATGGGTCCTCCTGTTTCTCCTGAGTTGCTGCTTCTCAGGCAAGAAACAAAACTTAGAAGAGCTCGATACTACCCTCAAGTATCTCTAGGGGTGAGAGTTGGGAACCAGTGTCTATAATACCCAACCAATGTATCCTGACGGCTACCCATACCTCCCAAAACGTCAAATGGGAACCTAGAGGTGACAAGCGAATGGTAGTGAGTGTGACTTGCATTATGGTTAATATGACCGAAAGTTAACATGCGTCCAAGATCGATAAGCCGGTGAATGGATAACTTATGCAGAACAAACATAGCTGTCTCCCACAGTTTATTTCTTGGAGGACAATTTATGACTCCATAAACCAAGAGGTGTGGAATTGCTTTATTTCAGAGGAAGCGGCCGGCAAGCAGCACTAGACATTGGGGAACTCGTATTCACATCTTTGTCGCATCACCCTTGTTTATATTAAATAACGTTTGATAGCAGAAGTTTGCGACACCTCAACGTGATTGTATGCAATCCTGTTGCCTTAAATTCTCGTCACTTAAACAGAAAATCAGATTTGAAATTGACGGCTTTAAATTTAACCGTCAGTGTTTGTCACTTGCGATACACGGATGGGTTGATGAATGTTGGCAGAAATTCTTAAGACTATACAGGAATTGTAAAAGTAAGCTAGTTCACTTAACTGATTGCTCTTAACCGATTTAATCAGCTAGATATCAATCCGGTTTCTAGTAGGACTGAAGTTCGTCACCTAAATATCGTTTCCACTGATAGATAGGTAGTAGAAAACTAACTTATTCCTTACCAGATATCACTGTGAAGACCACGTCTCTAATAAGTTACATCTTATCATCTAATACCATCGACTTGCAAATAAAGTCACAGTTCTGGATGTACAACAAGGTAGTACCACCTAAGCTTGTCATTTGGCGAAACCGGTTATTTTAATTACCCCACTCTCTTTTCTAGGACACAAACCAAGAGCAACATAAATACTCTTCATCGGTTTGTCTAACGGCTCAGTGGGGACATCTGACTGCAACACTAGGTGACGCAGGTCCAAATCTCTGAGAAATCAGTACCTTCAGGGTTGTCGATACGACTTACTAGCAAACTCCAGTAAGCACAATACCTAAGTTCACTGTTTTCTACCATTTGCCTTCATCTGTCTAAGTGAAGCTGTAGCACGTTGGTGTGGGAACTCGACTTTCAGTGAGTGCGTAACAGGCTCGAACCGTGGTTCACCTACATAGGTATGAGCAGCCACGTAGCATAACTGTCCTTCACGTGATAGATGTGACTCACTGCAAAAAATTGGAAGCTATTGTTCAGTAACATTCTGTCTGATATCCATGAGTATTTTAGTACTTCGGCCTAACAGTTGCAAGTAGTTCGTTAACTATATATATTACTCTGAAATCCATAAATATTGAAGCTGGTAAACAACTGGTTTTTGTACATGACTTAACAAGCTCTTGATTTCAGAATGATTTTACACTATACAGTATTCAGTCAACAATCTAAATATTCGTCGAATACAGCAGAGGTTAAAAAAGAATGAGTAATTATTCCCTATTAGACACTAAGGAAAGTCTATTTACAGCAAGAATTATCAGCGTTGAACAGGTGAAAACTGAGTGTGCTAATGAAGGTGTCATTGTCATAAGCAGGCCAACTTTAAAATTCCTTCCAGTATACACAGTGTACTGTTCTTGTGTTATAATAGTTTAAGCGAATATCATGAATTCAGCACCAACAAGCAACTGTTTATACCGTAACACACTAGTCATCCGAGCATCAACTTTAAGGCAAAGTCAGACTATCAAAGCCAAAATAACAGTGACCTTAAACAATTAATAGGAATTTAGAGGTGGAAAATTTGCATAATACATTTAAAAAATTATGCGAACATGATACTACACTGTATAACTGTCGATTATGCGTTGTAAGAAAGTCTCCGAGTGACTACACAGATGGTCTATAAAGAAATCATACCATGCGAATCTATCCAGATGACCGTAGATGATGGTACTTTGAGACCTATTTATATTTCTGATACTGATCTTTCACCTACTTCTAACTCTAACAATAACCTTAACTCCTAATCTTAACTTAAACTCTAAGCCTTAATCTTAAAAGCCATAACCCTACCTAGCAGTAGAGATTTTCAGAAAAAGTACCATGTAAATAAGTGAAATAGTGTATCTATCCTCTCCAAGTTCAAAAAGGCAGACACGACCATGTTTAGAATAACGAAACATAGGATTCCGTGCATTTAATCGGCTCTTAAAGGTCAGTTTTTGAAAGATCTTGACTTTGGTTATGATACTTTAACTTTGCCAACTTTAACATTTTAAAACAGCATTTGAATACAAAACTTTTTTAATAGCAAAAACCAATGATATATGTGAACAGTGGTAATGTAGTGGAATAACAATCAACTGAAAAACAATCGTAAAAATTGATCGGAAATTCTTCAGATTATATCGATGGCTTTTAGTAAGAGATATAAGGATAGTGACAGGACAAACACTAGAAGTAAATATAGGCGAACTCTGTAGGTAGGAGAATTTGTCACTTCATATACATTCTCTTGAGCTTCAGAAAATCGGACCCGGTTTCTAGAACGGACGCTTGTGTCACCGTATAAGTTACACTCTTCACTGTCATCTGAAGAATTTGAATTTTGATTCCTAATGTTAATCTTAATTAATTTGGTTAACACTTACTGTTCCTCGGTCACCAGAGAAGCTGTAAAATAGTACTGTGATTAATTGAAAAAAGAACATACGATCAATAAACAGTGCAAGTTTCTTTCGCAAAATTTTCCTGGTAATGTCATCTTTTCAGAGTAGTTAGCGATTATAAAGGAACGAACCTTGAATTGGAGGTGGATGATAACCGTAACTCAACAGTTCAGCTCTTAAGTCATCATCTGAAAGAGCCACTATTCGTTCCATTTAGTTAAGTCCACTATCCTTAAATTGACGAAGACGAGTAACGCTAGCGCCGCGACCTTGAAAGGTTAAATTGCCCTCTAATTAATCAGTTAATCCAGTATATTTAAGCTGAAATTATCCCGCATGCTCAAGGTCATTGATGGAGTGAGACGCTCAAAGGTCATTTTCGTCCATGTTAGTCGGTTATGTTGGATTGCAGTTCCATAGCCGTTCGTTTACACATTGGTTTTATGTTCTGTTGGCATTTATAGGTGATTCCCATGTACTGATAGCATTCTTTTGTAAAATAGTACTGTTCTTCACACGAAAATAGCCACATTTTGACGTAGTCTTCATTGAATGACACTATGTCGAAAGCTGCAGCTTCTACAAGAAATAAACTATTTGTGTAGATGACATTACCCCCCAACTATCCCATCTTCTTCATTGTAGAGATGTTTTGACGCATTCAGCATGAAACACTAATCATTACAACCAATATGCTAAGTGTGTCGCAGTCAGATTAAATGACGCAGACACCAACATAACTAGCCAGGAAATGGGAATTCCTATCAATCCACAAAACATACAACAAAATTTTATTAAAAACCACTGACAAAACAAATTTGCCGAGCGAAATTTCAACCAACATGCCAGATAAGTCCAGCCGTATATTTGCTAGAACCTAATATACAGCTACTAGTTTTTGAACCTTGTTTGAACAAAAATACTCACAGTCTTCTAGAGTCTCCTAGATTTATTTCCTCTGAAATTGTGTTGGACATATTCAACACAGGTGTTTAGATTCCAGTAAAAATAAACCGATTTTTTAAAATTCAGAACAGCTTATTTTAATACTTTCCTGATGATTGTTTGTACTTTGTTAACCTTTTATTGAACGAGTTCAATTGGAATGAGGTACTACATTTCTTCTGGTTGCAAGAGCCAGTGACTAAATGGTAACACCAACAGAACACAACACTATATTGACAGCGGATAGATACACAAACGGCTTTCAGAGAGGCCTCGCCTCGCAGATCACTCACGCGTTCTGTGACTGGAAGATTTACCTTTGTGTAAACGTTGAGGCTAATGTGTGTTGCCCAGTACTGAAGCGGGCTTTGAAGTAGCAATAATAAAATCAGATTATTATTGTTGTTCCCTTGGGTTCCTAGTGGAACATAGGGCTTCAACTTCACGCCTCCATTTGCTTCTGTCTTGTGCTGTACTTTTCACTTGCATCCATGTTAATCCATACTGTTTCAGCTCCTCTCCACACGATCTCCTCCATCTCGCCCTTGGACGTCCCACTCGTCGCTTCCCTTTTGGGTTCCACTAGAGAGTTGGCCTGACGCGCGATGTCACTCAGCGGCCTCCTCAGCGAGTGTCCAATCCATCTCCACTTCCTCCTGCATATTTGTTGGGCGATTGGTTCCTGTTTCGTTTGTTCCCATAGCTTCTTGTTTGTGATTCTTTCTGGCCATCTAATCTTCAGTATGGAGCGAAGACAGTTGTTGATAAAGGTCTGCAACCTGTTGAAAATATTCTTGGTGACCCGCCAAGTTTCTGATCCGAACGTATAGCAAAACTGACTTGACGTTTGTACTGAAAATCCGAGTTTTGTTGTTGATGCTGAGTGACGAAGATTTCCAGATTGGTTTCAGGTTGATGAATGTGTTTCTCGCCTTCCCGATTCTCGATTTGACATCCTCGTCCGTTCCTCCTGTGGTTGAGACAATGCTGCCTAGATAAGTGAAAGAAGTAACCTCTTTCAAATCCCTCGCATTGATGGTGATTGGCGCTGGATGTTGCTGCTGCTGTTGTTGTTGTTGGTTGGTTAATTTCATAACCTCCGTCTTGTCTATGTTCACCTGGACACGTGTCCTGTCTTTGCTGCTTCTTCTACCAGTTTGTCGGTTTTCGCTTGTAAGTCTTCGATTTTGTTTGACATCAAACATAAATCATCCGCAAAATCCAGGTCTTCTAGGTTCTTCACGTCGGTCCAGGATATCCCTGTCTTCTCGTTTCCCACTGTCTGACGCATAATCCAATCCACCACAATTAGGAATATCATTGGTGATAATAAGCACCCTTGTCTGACTCCTGTGTTTACTCCAAACGCTTCGCTGAGTTTTCCGTTGTGGATCACTTGACATGTGCCATTGTCGTACAGTTGTTGAATAAGGTTGATGAATATTTGCGGTACGCCGTAGTACTCGAGTAGCTTCCAAATTACTTCGCGGTCAACGATGTCGAAGGCCTTCTCAAAGTCTATGGACTTTAGGTAGAGATTTGATTGCCATTCCATGGTTTGTTCGATGATAATGCGTAGAGTTGCAATTTGGTCAGAACATGATTTGCCTTTCCTGAATCCAGCCAGCTTGTTCTGGTCGGAGTTCTGTATCCAGTGCGTCCTTGATTCTCTCCAGGATGATGCGACTCAGGATTTTACTTGGCGTCGACAGGAGCATGATTCCTCGCCAGTTCTTGCAGAGTCCCAGGTCGCCCTTCTTTGGTAGTTTCACCAGGTAACCTTTCCTCCAGTCAGTAGGCACCTTTCCCTCTTTCCAGATCTTTTGCAATAATGGAGTCAGCATATCTTCTGTCGTTTCTGGGTTCGCTTTCAGTGCTTCAGGGGGTATTCCATCTGGTCCAGCTGCTTTTCCAGCTTTCAGAAGCTTGATTGCATTCATGACTTCAGTTTTCGTTGGAGGATTGGTGTCAACTTGCAGTTGTGTACGTGCTGTTGTTGGTATTTCTGGACGGGTTGTAGGTGGTGGTCTGTTCAAGAGTCCTTTGAAGTGGTCCGCCCATTGTTTAATCTGTCTTTCTTCTTTGGTAATTGGGTTCCCTTGGCTGTCTTTTATAGGTTTCACTTGTGTTGATCTCTTCCCAGATAGAGACTTGGTTATCTGGTATAGTGTCCTCAGGTCCCTTTTGCCTGCTGCCTTCTCAGCTTCAGTAGCCAGGTTGTCGTAGAATTGTCTTTTGTCCTTCCTGGCACTCTTATTCACTCCTTTGTCCAGTGCTGTGTAAGTTGAGTTCAGCATCTCCTTCTCTTGTCCATCTTTGCATTGAATCATTTTTTCTTTCACCTTTCTCCTCTCCTCTATTAGTTTCCAAGTGTCTGTTGAGAGCCATTCCTTGTCTTGTTTCTTCTTTCTTCCTAAAACCGTTTAGCACGCTTCGTTGAAAATCACCTTCAGAGAGTTCCAATGGTCTTCCACGGATGATTCCTCAGTGGTGCCACGTAGTGTTTCCTGCTTTGCTCTGACGGTTGCAGTGAAAGTGTCCTTTGTGGTTGTGTCCTTCAGTTTCTGCGTGTTGAACTTGCATTGTGGCCTATCCCCAGCTATCCTCGAGGCTTTCAGCTTCACCTTGAAAGTTCCTTGTACTAGATAGTGGTCTGAACCCACATCTGCTCCTCTCCTCGATCTTGTGTCCAGTAGGCTCCGTCTCCACTTCCTTGAGATTGAAATGAAGTCTATCTGGTTTTTGGTGTGTCCATCTGGTGAAATCCATGTTGCCTTGTGTATGTCCCTGTGTTTGAACACACTGCCACCAATCACCAAATCATTGAAGGCGCAGAAGTCTGAGAAGAGTTCACCATTTTCGTTCATTTCACCGAGGGCCTCACGACCCATGGTGAGTTCTCTTCCTGTGTTGTCTCCTCCCAGTTTCGAATTCATGTCGCCCATCAGGATTTTGATATCGCTCTTTGGGACGTTGTCCATTACTGTTTGTAGTTGACTGCAGAAATCCTCCTTCTTCTCATGTTCTGAGACGTTTGTAGGCGCGTAGCATTGAATGATTGTAACCTTTTTTCCTTTTGAGTTGAACCTGGCTGTCATTATCCTGGAGGATATTGGTTCCCACTGCATGAGAGCTTTAGCCGCTGTTGGTGACATCATGATGGCTACTCCCTCGGTGTGCTCGTGCTCGTCCTCTGGGTGACCGGAGTAGATTATTGTCTCTCCAGTTGATAGTTGGCTCCTTCCACATCCGTTCCATCTGCTCTCGCAGATTCCCAACACTTCTATCTTATATCTCCTCATTTCTGCGGCTACCTGAGCAGCCTTTCCAGCTTCGTACATTGTACGAACATTCCACGTCCCCATCCTTATTTTCGCTTTCATCGAAAGAAGGCACATCGGCTGACTGGCTTCCCGAAGGCTTTCACCAGCCCGCATCATTTCACTTCCCCGATTCCAGCGAAAAATAAGGTCACTATTTGTAATTTTAGAATTTTGAATATATTTGTGCGTTGAAGTTTTAGTAGCAATTTGGTTAAGTTTTAGGGGTGGAGTTGCTAGCACCACGCCCCAACCCTCCCTCTTTATCCGGGCTTGGAACCGGCTAGAATACTAGTGACCTAGTAATCTAGGCGAGGTTAATAAAATCAGATGGATACTATGTTTTTCATATTAAGGGGACAAATTAATACATGTATTAATTTCACAGGTGTGATACGCATTGGATCCACTTACAAAAAGAACATTACTTGGCAACTTAGTCAAGGAAGTATAAAATTGGAAGATTTAGTCTTTTTCAGGTGGTTGTAACAGATGGTTAAGAGAGACAGTTGTGTAGTATTTGCTTTTTGCTGAAGAGAAACAGTGATAGGTAAATCAGAAGTTCTACGATTCTTCAAACCTATCATGGAGTGTATGAACGATTAATATACAAAATTTCACCGATTCTATGATTGTCCCCTCTCTTGTTTACATATTCAGTGTGCCTAAGATAAGGTATTGTTCACCAGAGGTAAGCTAAATTCACCCGATATGTATAAATTCACATATATTTCGCAATACAGACGAAGGTATTGGAGGAAATACAATCCTGAAATTTGCATGGAAAGAGAATACTCAGTTATTTCTGGTGGATCTGTTGGTGATGGAAACTGCAAAGACTGGTCCACTATCAACTGGGAGAAACTGGTCCACATCTAATGGCTAGAATGATTATTAGACTTTCTGATGAATATGACGCAGCTACAAAAAAGCTGCAACTGTATTTTTTTCATTGAATTGTCATATAATTTTTTTGGTGTTCATATGTACTCTTTCGCACTAAATTACTTCCCATTTGGCTGACTATTGTTCCGTTATAAATATACGCATTTATGTAGACTACCTGTG